TCCGAGGCCGCATGTCCTTTTCCATCATCAACCCTGCATTATAGCACTTTCCATCGATTACTGGATATTAGGGCATCCGAGCGAGGGTGACCTCACCCGAATCAATCATATCTAAATAATGGGATTAGGAGCACAGAGGTACTGGAAACTGACTGCAATCGTGATTCAAGAATAATGCGTTCAATTGCTGGCAGAGATCTTGGAGGCACCTTGCAAGAGCGAAATGAATTGGATTCGTAAGCACGTTTACCGAAACATGGAGGAGTCTTTAAAGAAGAAAGAACCAGACCAGATGATGGGTCAAGCGCAGCCGAGGCGTCACGAAGTGCCGATTTAATCTGCACCACAATTAGACGAAGCAAGGGCTTATGACATGTCTGTTTGACATCTTCCACCACCTTCTGGCAGTGGCGCAGGACACTTCGCAAACCGATATCCCATCGAAACATCGAGAAAAGTAGAGCAGCAAGTACGAACTCTTCCTTCAAGCTGCATCGTCGAAGGGAGCTACGTCGGACTGCTTGAATGACATTAGTGAAAGCTCCAGAGAGTGTTTTCTTAAAGAAAATCACAGCGTATATACCACTCCATTCTCTATTCAGCATGTAAGCATGTATCGATCGTACGCATTCATTCTTGAGCGGCACGAGAGATCACAAGTACGCCCTGTTTTCAATACTCGGTCTTGCCCCGGGGAGTCGGCAATGAGGGGGAAAGGAGCACAGGTAGTGAGGTACGAAGTCACTGCTTGCTTCCTAGTCGTCGGCAGAATGACCGCTGTCAGGGTAACGCCGTGTCTCCGATTCTGGACCTAAATGGTCCTGCAAGAGTATTTCAGCTTCAAAGGGTCGTGATTCATCCGTCATCCACCCTATGTCCCATGATTTGAGAAAGCATCCGCTTCGCAGAAAGGGTAGAGATGAAGGGTGCAGTAGTCGAGGACGATGAATGAAAACAGGTGAATGCAAACTGCGCTTGTCATACCTACTGCAACCCAACTGCGACCTGGTAATCATCGGGAAGTTGAACTTCGCGACAAAGATCTGTTACCGACGTATTCAAGTTGCACAAATCAGGGAGTTCTGATATTATCCGCGAAACTCGTCGCATCGAGAAGAACGAAAAGAAAATGTTAGTATGGCCTGTCAGTGCTGTCCAAGGTTGTGATGAAAGGCAATTTCCGAACCCAAATTGGATATATAATCGCACGCCACAAGCGCGCTTAATTGCTGATTACGAATTGTGTATTATCAGTAGTCTCGTAGTAGACGCGTGCCGATAAAGACTGTTTATAAGAGAGTTAACGGTAGATATATGTGCTACCCGTTACATCGTGCTCAATTGAGCTAACATGACGGTGTACACCTTCAGTCACACGATGATAAATTATGTGCTCAATACCGGATAGTAAGAGTAGCAGATAGGCGGTAACCGCGTCTTATCTGACTCTAAAAGGTGGCATCAGTGTACCAAAAAGTCATATTTGGCGAAAAAAATGCAAAGCTCCCTGTATCTAATGAACAGAGCTGGGTTTATGTCGGTCCTGGGAGGCAATTGATGAATCATGATAGTTTCAAGTTGATCTGTGGGAATTACAATTCTTGGTTTCGGAAAAATCCTGGTGTCGTGGCGAGAAGCTTTAGAAACTGACTATTGCATACCAGAAGGCTGATAAATTCCGACCGATATGACTAGGGATCGATCCAAACTTGCAACCAGATGCGTGCAGTCACGGTCGACAGAATAAATTTACCAGAGATGTACAGCCTTGAGAGAAGCCAGATCTAGCAACTAGATATGGCAGAATGGAATCAAACTTTCCAGATATTTGAGTGTTCTCAACTATGGCGTCTAGATGCGCACTCTATGCTTTGGTGGATAGAGCTCAGAAGGTGAAAATGACGGGGATACGAGAAGGAGATGTCCGGGATATGATGAAATCTAGTCACCATAATTAACTATGACGCTGAAATTTCTGACAACTGAGTTATTTCCCTAGAAAACAGAGTCAACCATCGTTTCAATGGTCATCAGCATGAGTGATACCCGAAATCGAATCATCGTTGGTTACTCGCGCTTATTACATACATGTAATTTCCGAATCAATCCCGAGACAATGTCCTTAGTTCCCGTAGACAGACAACGATACAGAATTGATGAAAGGGAGGGACGGTCTGCCTTGCACTGATCGAGTTATCACAATTTTGATGGAAACCCAGCAGCGCATAACTGAACCATTTAATAAGGCTTGAGACGCGATTGGAGACTATGGTGGGGTCAAGTTCATTTATGATACAACGGGTATTGTCGCATAAAATGAATTTAATATGAAGGCCACAAAGGTGGCACATACATCATTTTCTATCCAGACCTACTGAATCGGCACGCTAAACTTGCCGCCGGTATCCTCAAATCTGGTTCCGTTCCGGGCGCAGTGCCGATGGATGGCAATCTGATTATGACATGTTTGGGAGTTTTTACACGGTTGCAAGTGAACTCCTTCGCGTCAAACAATAGACTAATGGTGACGTTCCTCCAACTAGTAGATCCAACGAGTCTGAAATAAATTCCAACAATCTAGATGATCAGACCGTAAATTGAACTTGTTTCGTTGCATTGATTCGACAGCGCATATTGCTATGACAGGGAAAGGAGCGGAGACGAAAGCGCTCCGGCGTTTCTTGGTCGTGATAGTTCGGGTCAGGCGCTAGGCGCTAGAGAATCAAATCTGCCAAAATTCTATGATTGGCCCGCTAACTTTTCACCTGACAGGAACGTAATTTCGTTCCTTGACGGATCATACAATTGTACAAAGTAGATGGATTTCTTCCGCGGACTACCACACCTTCGGATCTCAACCTAGCCCTGAGACCTGCATCCTCCCAGCGAATTCGACCATTCTGGGGACCACCTCGAAGAAGGAGTTGCATGTATCTTGGACACCGTGACTCAGGTGGTTAGAGCCGCTTGGTTTGTTCGGTGAAGTTTGCATCGTATGTATATTACGATGACGGATCACTGATCAGATTCACTGGATTTACGCGGCTTCGTACAGCCATAGCAGTTGTTCCTAAATTGCGGCTGGATATCAACAATCAACCTCTTGACGGATTCGATGCCAAAAGATCGTCATTGCAATGACATCTTTTGCACCTGGGCAGTGCAGTCAGCGCGCTAGGCCGACTATCAATACAGATATGGTGTGTTGATTATCGATTATCGTGTATTTCGATGTTCAAGTTTCATCCTGTACCGGATTCTGAAACATCGCCAGCCTTGATCTTGACGATACTCGTCTTATACATGTGAACGCATGCCAACAAGAAGTCACGCACTACATCAACAACAGGGTATAAAGGACGGTGGGTCAAATGGATATCTCTTCATCTTCACTACTTTACTTTCTTCTCTAGCCTGGAGCCAGAATCAAGAGCACAGACTCCCTTATAATCAACATGTCTTACAAAAACTTTCTTTCCGCATCCCTCAAAAATATTATGTACGTTTTATTTCAATTTTTGCGCAGTGAATTATGCTCACGATGGGTCTAGAATTGTTCTCAAACGAGATTACTTTAGGTTCGCGCCCTGTTCAGCTATAATTCATTCGTCGATTTTTTTCCTAACGGAGTTCTTATAGTTCTTCGAAGCCTGGTCAAGGGTACGCTAGTTTCATTATATCGGATGTGTGAATTCGTCTTAGCTGGCGATGTTTCACAGATACATCCCCCGTGGCAAACAAACCAATACTATCAAGGGTTCCGTCAAGAACGGAGGCGGACCCAAGGGTCAAGGGACCAGATAAAGATCGACTATCATCAACCTCGCGAACATGATATACTTATTGATGCTAACTCACACTCCCTTCACCAAATCTATTTCCTGATTAATTCATACTTATCTCAAGTTAATATATAATCTTAGAGAGTCACGTATCCCCTACGTTTCGTTTCTGTATGGTCCCCAGATATGGCTTCAATAGTTGTTAATGGAGTACCTTCACATCGGAAAGCGCCTCCCTGGAGCTTATCCTTCCAATCCTTTCATCGCAAGCCTAACTCACTTCCTTAACTGTTATAAAACAGTGGTATTAAGCTTCCACTGTTAATCACCGAGTCTCATAGGCGGATTTGAATCATTTGGTGACACGAGACACAAGTAAGGGAAAGGGGGTCCATCGAAACAGTGTTGGCGTGCGCCCCTTCTTCCTGTTGTGAACAGCAATATATCTACTTGCATTATCCATTGAATGTAGCGTTCGAAGTGCGAATGTATTTTCTCTGGGAAACTGTGGAACAAAGTGGCTAATGACTGCGCAGGCGTGTTTCCCGAGGCTAGAATGTACGTCAAAACGGTAGCCTTATACGGAGCCTAAAATGAGCGTGAAACTTCTTGAAAACCTCGGAGAAGCGTACCTTGTTCCGTGAATCGGGTGCAAGGAACGTCACTAGTGAAGGGTGTAGCCTGGATATAGATGTAAGTATACGTATCGATCGCGGCAAAGCTGAATTTCTGTGAAACGCGACGAGGGAAAGGATACATCTTTTGCTTGCAGGAATGTCAAAGAATACTATGGAATCGAGGGGTTAAGGTTCACATTTGATACCATAGTAATTCATCGACCTGGAACTGAGTAGCTCTCCTTACTCTTGGCAGTCGTGCAACTAGACATTCTTGATGCTTTGTCGGTCGCGTGCCAGGTGACGGTGAGTGGCATCGACAGCCTTCTGCCCGTCAGTTACAGATGAAGCAGACTGGTTTTCGACTCTCGAGGGACTATCGCGCCGACTGGGTAGTTCCAGTAGAATCTAGTATCCATTTCCACTGGGCTCCCTTTATCTGGAGTTTGGATGCGTCGCCACCCCAATACATGGAACCAGTTACTACTAAGTTCTAAACAGTGAACAGTGAAGTTTGAACACTGAAGGACAAAGCAGCAATAAATAATACACGCTCCTGGGCCCTGGCTGAGGGCTCACAGTCCCGTAAGATGCAAAATAATGACAAGGATGGGACTCGAACAAGAGGCAGAACCTGCCTTGGCCCAGATTTACACAGAAATCCACGTTCCTTAGTCTGGCGCCTTAACCACTCGGCCACCTTGCCGCTGAGTACACACCTTTGGACAGTGGTCCCGTTTTCAAATTGCCGATATGCGATTCATATGTCAATTTCGTTCGTTCGGAAGAAGGGATGGGGGAGAACTGATCGACAACGTGGCGCCGATCACGCAAAGTTTTCGGTTGCCCGATTGGAAATTTCAGGGAGGGTAACATCCTGTAAGTAGTATTCTGAAATGAAGAATTTAATGGAGAAAACTTTACCGAAGCTCGTTGAAAATTCTGGGAATGCGTTCTGTTTAGGATGACTCCGCGGGACGATCAAAGCCGGAGGTCCCGAGTGGAAGCACCAGGACAACAAGGACATACAATGAACATCTCCTTAACGACTCTTTCAGTGAACATTACATTTCTCCTCTCCGCGACCATCAGACTTCATGCTCCTCCAATTACCAGTAGAGCTTCTTCTCAAGATATCTGAACTGGTGAATACCTCGATTTCTCACCTAACTTCCTCAACTTATTTTTCTGTAGCTCAACCGTGAAAGTCAGAAGAACCTTCGTCTCGTCTGCAAGTCGCTCAATGATGCCACTATCGAGCTTGTTTTTGTGGACTTTAACATAACTGTTACTGAAGATGCCTTGCTGTCGGATCGGGCCATGTTGAAAGCGCTGGCGGCGCGCACTACGGATATCTGGAGATACGTTAAGGTGCTGCATCTGGTCCAATCTCCGCGTCTAGTGCCGCCTTTCGCAAGTGAGAAAATGCCGAAAAAGTCGATAAAGGTTATTTCGAGTGGATTGTACAGGGCGATTGTGTCGTTGGAAAACATTACAACTGTCGAGTGAGTTATGATCGATTTTTTCTAGGCATTGAACCAACTTTCTTGCAGCTGGTTTAGTGTCAAACCCGTCGACGACACCATCATTGGGGCCGTGATTTCAAGTATCTGTCGACTACCTTCTCTTCGAACGTTCATACTATACATGGCGAACAAGATGCACCGTCAACTCCCTCGCTTTCACCTGAAGAACCTCACATCATTGGATCTTTCGTTCAGTGGGCCGTCTTGGGATGAGTTTCTCTGTGATAGCCTGCCCAGTATTTTGGAGAACTGCCCCGACCTATCTTTTCTTGCCCTGGCTGACCATACTCGTGGCCCTGCAACTACATTGGGCAGCTTGTTTCAGGACCTCCGCCGTCCATTGCGATTGAAGTCGCTGATCCTCAGCAAGATACGCGTTCCTCCGTCTATCATCCTCGTCCCTCATTTTCAGTTCCTCGCAGTCCTCAGTGCAGCTCCTTCTGGAATGTTTCCACCCAAATTCTGGTCCGGCTTGCACAACGTACATCTCCGTTCCGTCAATGTGGATGATGTCAATACGGAACTCTTGGATTATCTGTTGTCATACACCGGTGCGGAGGAATTCAGATTCCAGCTGCCTGAGGATAATGCGGAGTACGACGAGCTTGGGACAAAGTTCTTTTCTCAAATCCTACCTCACCATTCTGCGACGTTAAAGATACTGAGCATCCAACCGAGGTTTGAGGGAATGTGGTCTTTCCAGGAATCAACTATCTTGCCCATCCTACAGTGTCGCAATCTGGTCACTCTCTGGGTATCTTTGCGCTTCTCAGACATCTCCAACCCCACTGAACCAGGCATAATTGTCAGTCTAACTTCTTCTAATTTATAATGCATTTGCTGAATTCTTTCACTAGGCATACCTGCTACACTCCCTCAAATTGCTGCCCGACCTCTCCACTCTTAATTTGGAGTGCCCCATGTCATTCTCCCCGCGTTTCCCCCCGACTAATGACAGTCGCTGGAGAGTCAAGCACATGCTCGGGCAGGCGATTGAGGCTGTCAACGCCATACCGAACCAGGATCCGTATCGCGCCCTTCAAATTCATGTTGAGCCGTTCGGCGGAAAGTATAGAGCTCATTGGGACGCGGACAGTGGCTTCTCCGCTTTCTATGCTGAGACTCGTTATACTGACGGAATTACTATTATTCCGTTAGACGTTTAAGAGATTACCTGAGCGTGTATGTAAAATAGAAAGGCAGGAGTGTAAAGAATACAAAATACTTATTTTCTATGCAACTACCGTGTCTCCGTCGGCGTCTTTCTCCTGGTTCCGTTCTAGTGATTTCGTCTTGTCTTGAAGGAGTAGCGTAGGATGGAATATGTTGAATGTGTAAAGTGCGAGTACAATCATTGTTCCGTCGAGCACATCTAGTCAGTCGATGAGACAACAACCCAAAGATAAGACGCAAAGCCTTACTGAAATAGACCTCAGTGGTAATGATTCTTCCCGACCACCCATCAGAGAGTTCAATCGTACGATATATAGCTCTACTCTACTGTCAATTCGGCTGCCAAGTTCCAAGACAAAGAGGACGTACCGAATAAACAGACAAACCGTACTGAAGGCGAGAGCTGCGGTGAGGAGTTTCAATTTCGTGTTCAAGTGACCTTTAGTGATGTCGCGTCCGGGAATAGGCTTATCAGCCAAGTATCTTATGAGGAACTCGCTGCCCAAGATGGAGTAGATCGTGATGACAGCTGCTTCTTGTCAGAGAAAAGTTCTTGTAAATGATGATTCGATGAACTTACCCATTTGGAAGGCAATACCGCCTAGCATAATATGTCCTCCCTGTGGAACCGCTAAGAGTTAGCTTCTGCTCAGCGAAATGATAAACCCTGCTACACCTTCTGTGGATCTGTGTTCTCCGATACAGCCGTTGCTGCCAATCCACCGCCAATAGCTTGGATCACGAGAGATATTATATCGCACGAACAAAAAAGAATAAGATCTAGTAGTTAAGCCCAGAGAATGAGTAAAGCAAAAAAGAAGATCCATAGGCAAAAAGTACACACATGCCCTTGGACTTAAGCGACTGTACCCGGCTCCAAGACGCTCAATCAGCTTCTCGAGGATCACAAAATTGGCGGCCAAGAGTGGCGTCGGTGCCAAGATGGTACAGGTCAATCTATTCCCATATGAATCAAAGGCTGTCTTGGACTAGTCCGACTGGACTCATAGTAGTGGACCTACTGCATCTCGTAAGGATCTGGGAGCCCAGGGTTGGAACTTGACCATAGCCGTGCGCTCCACCCCAAAATCTCGAGGAGGCCGCACAGGACTGCGGTAGCTAATAACCACCATGCCCGAGAGAAGACCGCCTGGCCGGTATGTATTACTGCGGCGGGTGAGATAGGTGCGTGGTGAACACGAGATGAGGACATACGGGTTGATACAGAAAAAAGGACCAAGAACAATATTGAGATCCCTCTGTCGGGAGTATATCCATAGAAACTGTCCACTTGCATGGCGGCGCGTTTGCCAAAATTGAACACTGCAAAACCGGTGGGTCAGTACAAGGGATGCAGGATGAATCAAGAAAGACTCGCCTTCGTCTAGCATCACGCACACAATACGGGGTTGGTTGTTGAGACAAAAGCAGGCACTTTCCTTCTCTTATATGTACACTAGCCAAGGTGAAACGGAATGAAATGGAAAACTAATGGCAGGGAATAACACGAGTAATTAAATCATCGTGCCGCGGGCGGGTGCCTATGTGGCTGAATCATCAAGCAATGGTGACCTATTGTAACGCGTACAGATCCCTCGATCCTGATGGATTCATGGCAAAGAATGCCTTGACCATGTTAGCCCCAACTGCAGCAGAGAACGGTCCGGACAAAGGCTTCAATATGAACATTACCAGTGCGGAGAGTTATTCAACAGTACAGTTCAGAGCCCTTGAGAACCCCCTCTATCTGGAGTACTACGTACGTCGACGTCAAACTTGTGCAGGAAAATCAATTATCAAAACCTGCTCCCCCGGCCCGCGGGTTACTTGTCCCACGGGTGATGACGTACGCTCTTTGACACTTGTCCAGATCCATCCTCGTGCATTCTCAGTTTTGATTTGATTCAGCAGTATCTTTGGTAGAAGATTTGTATCTTGTTATAAAATATATTAGCCACTAACTCGAAGTTTTATCACTTGCGTTAGGTTACAGTGTTGTCAAGCAGCTGCTCGTATCAAATATCAACCAACCGAACGTACTAATATCGCGTAAATGTACCGTTAAGTTTCATGCCAAATTAGATACTTAGGCAGCAGGTGCGATTCTTCAACTCATGAATTTCATCTTTTGACAAGTTTGTACAGTACCTAGGACTCGGGCTGAACACAGCTCAATACACTCGCGCTATCGATCCCAATCAGTTGGAAAAATGAACACCAGCCTTCTAAGACTTCCCTTTCTATTATCAACCACTTATGGCGTCCACAAATCAATGACGCCGCCTCATCTAGCGCCTGTAGAAGAACGACTACCCATAAAAGGCCTAGATATCGAACGAGCAGCACCTGCCTTTGCCATCTTCGCCAAGGTCGGTCATAATCTAGCGCGTGTACTAGTCATGTTCCGTATTCTTCGCCTTTTTTTAGTAACGATCTTCATCATTTAGGTGACGTTTTACTTGCTTTGTGCAACCGAAACACTTGCGATCCTCTCCGCCAACGACCTGTTACCTATTCGATATGTTCCCCTCCATCTCATACCATCTCTAAACCTCCCCCTTCGCCTCACGAGGCCCTACCTCTTTTTCTGGTCCTGCACGATCCTCGGGACATCTCTACGCGTGTGCTGCTATCGCATAATGTCCTCATTCTTCACATTCGAACTAAGCATACGAAAGGACCATAAGCTCATTACCCACGGTCCGTACTCTATCGTCCGTCACCCGAGCTATGTTGGGGCAATGTTATGCGGTATAGGCGCCGTAGGCTCTCATTTGAGCAGAGGATCGTGGTTGTCAAACTGGATCAATACAACACCTGTGGGATGGTTAGCGGCTTGGACTTTCACGATGGCGTTGGTCCGCATTGCTTTGGTTCCAAGGATGAACAAGGAGGATAAAATGCTCAAAGATGCCTTTGGAAAGGAGTGGGAAGAATGGGCACAGAGGGTACCGTACAGACTTATTCCATGGGTATATTAGAGTCGATTATCGTCGGCAGTAACCGT